GAATTGACTCACCTTTCGAAAGAACAGCGCATAGGTGAAAAATGCAACTACTGCACTTATCAAGAAGACATAGAAAAGCCACAAAAGGGAGAACATTGCCTTCCACGCGCTGAATTCCTTCGCACCTCCTTCGTCTTTGAGATGGATGTCAGTGTGAGCTGAATGTACTGTCTGTCGACTGTCAGAGTTCGAAGGCTGATTGTGAGCCCACGAACATTTACTATGGTGAGGTTCACAAGCACTTCCGGAGACTTCCGGAAGTTCGGAATAGTTTTTCTCTCCGAGCCCGAGAATTCAGTTCTGAACCTTTCAAAAGCAGTCGAGACTCCGAGACGACGTTGCAAAAACAACTCGTGATGGTGACACAGATGTAACTTTAACTTTGCGAGACGTGTAATTGTTTGAAGGATCTTTAGCGTTTATAAACTCGTGACAATCAACTGAATGAACTGTTACCTTCACCACGAGATCTTCAGAAAAAAATCAAAATTCTACTCTTTGAACCCACAACAGCGGTTACGACACAGTCACGGACGAAATTAAATGTGTGAGATCATAATTAATCATAACTAACAAAATACACGCCCATTTTTTTCACCACATCAGGCGGAGGGCAAGTAGCCATGTGGTTTGCGTCTTCCCCGTAATTGGCGAGCCATGTTGTCCGTGACAAAATTTGCGTTGCGTGGCGCGCCCTTTAGTTGATACTTTCCGTGTCACTGAATGCTCCTCCCCTATAATTCCAAAACCTTTCAGAAATGACTTTTTCCCAGTAAATTTTGTCATTGAGACGATAAATGGATCGTAGACAGATTTGTCTTTTTCTTTTCTCAAAAAGCGGTCGATATTTTTATTTAATGTCATTTGGTATTGTTTATATCGCGCATTTGTTCTTTTGCCTTTGGCTACCTTCTCCGTTTTAGTGTCTTTCTCTTCAATGCGATAGCGAGATAGAAAACATGATGCAATACGATGCTTTTCCCGGGAAATCCTGATTCATTGTCACTGACTAAGAGGTCCTGTGGTTCCATTGGTTTGCCATAAGGCGAGATAATCTCCTGGCGTGGCGCGAGATGTTTTACGTACCCTAGCCTTTACGAGCTAAAATCTCGCATTTGATTTTGAACGAATTTAAAGGGTATGCAGATTTGACGGATTTTCGTGAAATTTTGCCAGGACATTCCAGGGATAATGACAAACGAAAGTGTGTCGGCAAATTTGGATATGTCACACATTTTTTCCCGTGGCGTCCATTTGCGCAACACGTCTTGCATTTTTAGCTACTCCAAATTTAGAGGCGGATACATAAACAACCAATCAGAATATCGAAAAAGCCCGACACCATTGGTTGATTGATGCCTTGTGAATAAGACTGTGCAGTCATTTTGCTCCTGTGGCGGCATCAGATAGGCGATAAATTCAATAGAAGAACCTTTGGCCTTTTCACCCCTTAGCGGCTCCTGACATTTCCTAAAGAAAAACTCGCCTAAATTGTATTTTTGTCATAAACTGAATTTATTAAGGTTTCTTCTGATATATAGTTTGCTGGAGTTTTGTTGAAACTGGCGCGCGTATAATTTTTTTTCCCGAAGGACACCCGCGAAGGTGAGAAGTAACCTTAAAAGTGAGTACCTAGAAGAGGGTGAGGAGAAGAAGACTGTCAAAAGAGTGTGGTTTAATTTCAATCTTGCTTCACCCATTCTCTCTCCCAGTTTGTCTATTTCCAGCTTCCTAAGGTTTGAAGAGTAAGTCGTTTTACTAGCTTTTGGGCTGTTAAGTTGAACATTTTGTTAAAAATTTACTTGGTTATAATTACGCTGTCACAGTGCCAATACAGCCTCCCGGGGGAGTCAGGCCCCCTCCCGAAAATGCTCCTCGTATATGTCCCAATAGTCCATACGAGGAAGCGTTACCCAAAACGGTTCCTCTTTTCTGGCTGGAGGTATACAAAAGGGTTTCCACCACAAGTTTAAGTATAAGAAAGGGTAAGAAAAATGTCATCTAGGTATTTAAGAGCCTCATACAGACTAACCTAAACGGTTGATTCGTCCAAGTTTAGTACAAGTTTAGTAAATTTCTACTGTAGCTAGGTGAAGGGGTAACATTTTCTGTGGAAGGTATATACCCCCCGCAGTATCGCTTTTGGTGATTTAGACATTTAAACTGCGACTTTTAAACTGAAAACGTCAAGACTGGAAGTCAAAAATGGAGAATATAATGTTAATTTTCCATGTACGAAGTCAAAGGGGTAGGAGGTCGATAGGGGAAAACTAGAGGCACAAAGCGTTATTGGAGGGAGACCAATCACTCTTCTAGTTTCTCCCTCTCCCTCCTCTTTGAACACCTGCACGCAGACTAACTGTTAGACTCTACACAGAGTAATATCTGCACTTACAGACACTTCCCAGACTGAGAGGCAGTCACCTCTTGTTAGCAGACAGTCAGCCACAGTTCCAGTTACAGAAAAAAATATTGCTTCATTTTAACCTTCCATAGGCCATCAAATACCTCTTCTAAACAGACACATCTTCAGGTCCGTTTTAGGCGTGTCCTCTGAAAAGAGGTTAGCCCATTTGTACAGTGGGCTGTACAAACCACGTAGAATGTAAGAAGTCACATGTATATGAAAAAATCTGTTTACTCAGCTAGGTTGCAAGCAAACTGCAAGCATTTACAGATGTACGTGCCCCATTACTCGTGGATGAAAATGCATTTTGAGTTTTAACGAAATTTTACCACTCTCCACTCTTAAATCTTGTTGGGTTTTTTAAAATAAACTACATGGGAACAAGTAAATTAAAATGATGCAACACTATTATTCAAAAAATATTCTATAATTTGTACAGTATTTACATGTCATAATTAATTTAAACAAAGAAAGAAAATCCTACAATAGTCTTAGTATTTAGTGACAAGATGCATAATGAGTTGAATGTAAAATGAACAGTTAACAAAATGAATATCAGAGTTTCTTTGTAAGTTCAGTCAATGGCACTTTGGAAATTGTTTTCTTTTCCTATCAATAATAAACAGGCATTCCTTGCCACATGCTACGAAATATTTCAGTTTTTCTAATGTTCCTTGGTGGACACATGTGTTCAAGTCCTGCAGTGTTTCACTCAATCTCTCTACAATGAAGAACAGCCTATCAAATTCACACACCAGTCGTTTATCGGGAGAATCTCTCATGAAACTCAACACAATTGCCAAACCCTCCAAGGCAAGAAGTGCCTGAAATTTAAAACTGAACACTTCTCTCAAATCCTGGACTCTGTTGTTCTCAGTGAAGTAATTCATTCGCCTTTTAGCACAACCACTCCATCGTTTTTCCTCTTTTACTTTAGGTGGCAATGTCCCATAAATCTTTATTGATTGTTCAAGTCTGTCCAGTTTCTTGTGCACCTTATTTATCAGGGCTGTTGATCTGGCAATTCGGCTTGTTACAGCAAAGTATTCATAGGATGTTAAGTGTTTTGTGTCCACTGGTAGCTCCACCTCTCTTTTCGTCACCTGGTGTTTGGCTTGACAAACATGATCCCAATTCCACTTTTGCAAGCACCACCAACAGAATTCCTGACTGCACAAACCACAAACCATGTGGTTACAGCCAGGACCTTTTTCTATTGGGTAGTGGCAAAATGGACAATTCTTGACATTTACAGTTGTGATCAAAGAATTACTTTGGCTGTTTATAATCGTTTTCGCATACCCTTCATATCTCTGTCTAAAGATGCGAGCCTCATCACATGTTGCAGGCCAGTGGGCATCTTCCTGGCACTTGAAGCACCACATGGTACCACAGACACATACCACTGGGACCGGCTGGACAGCACCAAGAGAAGCGAGATGCCTCCCTGAGGTGACCCGTGATGAAGAAGCCTTGACAACCAACTTGCACTGGTCTGCAGGACACCACTTCCACTCTGGGTCCATCTCCAGGAATGTATCAAGCCTCTTCGCCAGATGTCTTCCATACAATGATGGCACAAGGGACATCAAGGTGATAAGGTCAACTGTTGTGCTGCATTGATGTCCAGGACACTGCAACTCAGTATAGCCATTTCCAATCAGGGTCTTCAGGTGAGCTCTCCAGCAACTGTTGCAGAACTGGTGACCACAAGCAGTCAGGGAAGTGTGACAGGAGATAAAATTGATATCTGAAAATATGACAGTACATATTTGTAACACAAGAAAAAATTGAAAAAAGAGAAGGAGTACGCCTGTTATAATAGGCAGTCATGCATGAAGCTCTTATGCTACGTACATTTGGGTGGCATGTCAGTCAATACACAATAAACAATACATGTACATGTGCATGGTTTTAGGACCCAACTGGCAAGGGGATGGCCAGGTTATCTACAAAACATCACCAAGAAAGTACACTTCACAAGCTTTGGGCCTAAATAAAGTCATTACAAATCCTGCAGAAATCTGAATTTGTTGACATACAGAATCTGACCTCTGAAGCAGGACTGATTACAAGACCAGCAGCTATGTGTAAATCTCTTGGCCATGCAACAACTTCCACGTGAAAGGGACACTATCATGGGCATCATTTGGAAAGTCAAAACTTGAGAGGCATGCTACATGTATTGTCATTGTTTGGAACTGATATACAGTATATAATGGTTTGGCTTTGTTCAAATTACTATTTACATGTACTGAAGGTATAAAAAGAGTACTCTAATGAATTACATGTAGGAATGCACAACAAGGCTGTGGTGTAAGGAAAATTATGAGGAGCCCAAAGGTTCCTAACCATGAAATCCTAGGTGCCCAGCACTTAAGGACGGTGCCTACTTTTGTTGGTGCGCACATGTTCTGCGCATCACGCAAGCCATGGTTTAGCTCCACGCGCGCGCTGGGGCTGACATTGACNGATTCATGCATACCTTCATCATTGCAGAAAATAACTGTGCTTACCCGAGCTTTCACCTTTCTTGTATCATGTTTCATGCCGTCAAACTTGAACAGAACAAGCATTTCTCCTACACTGAACTGACAGGTATCAGGTGTTACATTCAGAATAAACGCTCTTGGTAAGCTTGCAGCTTCCTTGTACTTTTCACCCCATCGTTCCTTCAACAAAGTAGGATTGGTTTCTGTATGGGATAGTTCAACAAAGGCATATTGTTCACATGAATCTTCTCCTGTGAATTGCAGGAATTCTGTTGAGGGTTCTGAAGTTTCTGAGTCAGCAGATGGCAATGTCTCATTGGGGAAGTAGTGGTGCACACCACCTCTTCCTCTTGCTCCTCCTCTTCCTCTTCCTCTTCCTCTACGCCATCCCCCCCTTCCTCGCGAATACCAATTTCCTCTTCCATTCCAGTCTTCTTCACCATTAAAATCAGAGTCACGCATAATCTGAGCCAAAAGTTCATGATGTGCTTTGTACATATCGTCACCATTCTCGATGTAAATGCACTCTCCTTTTCTCAAAGGAAGTTCTTTGCTTTCTTCAGCTTCTTTCATTTGCCAGGATGTCTTTGTCTTTGCACTGCATTTTTTCTTCTTTTGGGTGGAGTTCTTCAAAAGCAATCCTAAGTCAAGTGTTACAGATCTATCACTATTGCTAGAATACAATTTTTCATTGAAATCTTCATCAATTTCATGACAAGAGAGATCTGGTTCGTTGACCTCTTCAAACTCTATATCAAAGTTCCAGTTAGGAAAGGAATTTTTCTTCCTTGCGCCAAGATGTTTCGTCTGTCTCCTCCATTGTTTTTCATCATGCCATGAACCCGACGGATGAGGGTAAGATACTTCGTATCGTGTTTTCATCTCTTCAACGTCACTAAGCAAATCGTTAGCTCGCGCAAACTTTCCTTTGGATTTTCGAGTTGTTCTGCTCTTGGAGTTGTAAACACAGAAACAGTCTGGTCGATCGTGTTTGTCGCTAGTGTATCTCTCAACCAAAACAACTTCGTCTTTCTCGACTTCAATGGAGTTTTCCTTGATTACTTCTGGAAGAAGCCAGCGATTCTGTTTGCCTAACGAGAGGGTAATAGTCTTGAGCTCTCCTTGGTCGCAGCTACCTTCGCTGAACGCTGTAGTTTGAATTAAAAGTCCTTCTGATCTTTTGCCAGGGGTTCGCGTGGAACGAACGGTTCTACCGTTGTTCACTCCGAATTTACCAGTTTTCCAAACCATGGTGGCGATCTCTCTCACTGTTTACCCGTTGTCTCTAAACAAGGAATTGCTGTTAACAGAAAAGTAGCTTCTTTTATGACCCTGAAATCGAAAAGCCATTGCTTAGCAAAATTTCTAATAATATCACTGTTCGTAATGGTGGTGCAATAGAAAGTGCCGAAGCTGTTATGAAAGAGAGTCTTTGATTGGCTGTGAGGTTTATTGTCCAATCAAAAGATTCGAATTATCGAGCAAGAAATTTATTTTTAGACCAAAATGTTTTGTACAGCACCAACTTCGTTTCTAGTCCCACGCATTCTGCTCTGCGAGCTTCAAAATGTATTTTCTACCATGAAAATAAATTTTTAATTTATATCTTTAAAATTGAATAGACCACTTTCAAAACAGTTCATGAACCAGGTTGGGGAGGGTTAGGTGTGGATATCTAATCAGAGAAGTGTCAATTCTAAAATGTGTCAAGTGTCACAACTGCTTTTGTCGCCTCGGCCAAATTGTTTATTCGAGGACTTCACTTAGCTTCTGGTGAGAAGGAGCAAAAAATTTTGGGGGTACGAAAGTGAAAAAATCTCTATTTTCTAGCTTGCGTTACAGCTC